AAGGTGTCTAAAATAGTTTTATGTCTTTTAATGTGGCCGAAATAGTGTGTTTTTCTCTTTTTTCATTTCTTTCAGTGACTCTATATTCGATTTTTTCTTCTCCCATGAAATAAGACCTAGTCTTCTGCATATGTCAACGTCTGTGGCTTAGGCGTTGCGAACGCGCTTCGTAATGCCGGGGTGCCGGGTTCGATCCCAGCTGCGGGCCTTGCGCCTTTCATTCGTTTTGACAGGGGTATCCAGAAGCCGACCGTCCAGAAGCAATGGCAAACTAGTGGACGTACATTTGCTTAGAAACAACCAAAACACTGCTGGGGTGGATTCTGCAACGTCCTGTAAAGTATTCGCAACTAATTTTGGCTTTTGCATATCCCCATTTCCAGAGACTTACTTCGATTTTCTGGTTGCTTGTTCATTGTCCAAGTGATTGCACCTGTCAGTAGGGTTAAGTATACATAACATTTTACAAATCCTTTTTTTAACAAACGTCTTTTACTGCATGCTTATTATGGGTGCGGTGGGTCTATTAATTTATTTTACTTTTTAAAATAGGACCTCAGGAAGCTGTTGTAGCCTCATTTGGCCGAGAGTTAAAATGTCAGTTAGCAGGAAGAGCACAGGTAACGGTCATGTGGCGGCCACGAGTCGTTACCTAGGCGAAGGTAATTATACGACCTAATTGAATTCTGGGGATAGAAGACATAGGGACAGCAGTTGAGATTTTGCGACCGTTAAAGTCGGACGTTTGGGTTTCCGCAGTTTAGTGGAAACGCCGTGTTAGCTATTTCTCTTTATGATGATAATTATAGAGACATTCTCTCTTTGTGAGGGTTTTGATTTGCCGCTGTTTGCGGGAGACAGTTTGATGTCTGTTTAGTTTCTAATGGCAGGAGTCCATTGAGTGAAGTTTGTAATCGTTAAGATCGTCCATAAAGACAATAGAGATTTATTATCATACACATAATAGTCATCATCATCTTGTGACGTGTACTGTGAACGACATTAAAGTTTATGTGGCCTGTCACAAGCGTTACTGTATTTGCTGATGCTGTGCCAGTTGTGCCAGTCGTTATATTACGCAGGACTGCAAATAGTTGCATCGCATCCATCAAGGAGAGATCCAGCGGAACATTGGAGTAGGCACTCTTGACCTACATACTTGGTTGTTTATAGACACTAATGAGTATCGATGTTCAAACATAGAATTTTATAAAGTAATATAAATACGTTCTCTGTACACCCATAGTATACACAGGGATAATAAGAGAGTACAACAGACCCACACGTAGAATCAAATATATAAAGAATCAAGGATATAAAGAATCATGGAGATAGGAATCACGGATATAAAGAATCAAGGATATAAAGAATCAAAGCAAGGATATAAAAATAGAGGATATAAAGAATCAGGCATATAAAGAATCGAATCAAGGATATAAATAATCAAGGATATAAAGAATCGAGGATATATAGAATCGAGGAAAAAAAGAATCAAAGCAAGGATATAAACAATCGAGGATATAAAGAATCAAGCATATAAGGAATCGAATCAAGGATATTAAGAATCGAGGATATAAAGATGCAAGCATATAAAGAATCTTGGATATAAAGAATCAAGGATATAAAGAATCAAGGATATAAAGGATCGTATCAAGGATATAAAAAATCAATGATAAAAAGAATAAGGGAAATAAAGAATCTAGGATATAAAGAATCAAGGATATAATAAAATCAAGGATATAAAGAATCAAGGATATAAAGTATCAGTGATATAAAGAATCAAGGATATAAAGAATCAAGGATATAAAGAGTCAAGGATATAGAGGATAGAATCAAGGATATAAAGAACCAATGATATAAAGAATCAAGGATATACAGAATCATGGATATAAAGAATCAATGATATAAAGAATCAGTGATATAAAGAATCAGTGATATAAAGAATCAAGAATATTAAAAATCAAGGATATACAGAATCAAGAATATAAAGAATCAAGGATATAAAGAATCAGTGGTATAAAGAATTAGGGATATAAAGAATCAATGATATAAAGAATCAATGATATAAAAAATCAGTGATATAAAGAATCAGTGATATAAAGAATCAATGACATAAAGAATCAGTGATATAAAGAATCAAGGATATAAAGAATCAAGGATATAATGAATCAAGGATAATAAGAATCAAGGATATAAAGAATCCTGGCAGGAATTTTCAAGGTTAGAAGTGCGAATTGTATGCCTGGCTGGCTTTACACAGCTCTGGAAATCATTTGGTTTAATGTGGCCAAAGCGACATTTGGAGGGAAAGTGCGCGAAATCCTGGCCCATTCAATAGGCCACAGTAAGGATCAAACTATAAAATATCATCAAAGTACAATTTCTACCTCGAACTAACTAGAACTGCGCCATTCTTTATCATCGTTTACTTCAAAGTCTTCACGCTACAGTTACAGCACTTTGAAATAACCCAACTCGCAAATGGATTTAGAAAACAAAGCACCTAGGTTACTTTAATTAGTAATTAGACATACTTCATTTCTGGCCAGGGAACGAATCGACACTGAATGTCAAAATAGCAATGAAAAGTCGAGATAAAGAAAAAAGAAAGGCCAGGTTGGCTAAAGTACTTTTATGTGTATGTATTGTGTCTGAAAGTTCTTTCTTCTTTCATTCTTGAAAATTAATCTTCGATTGCTGCTGTAAAATCATTCGGCTGTCTGGTTGAAGCGCCCGGTCATGGAGACAAAAATAATCATTGATTCTGCATTTGATTTTAAATTCGATTTTTCTTTAATTGTTTATCTTTTTATTAACAGGCTTGCCAGGTAAAGTTGTGGAAAGAAAATGTAGCTGGCGTGACACACTGAGTGCTGACTGTATATAAGTCTAACGCTATCTGCCGAATAAGCTTGAAGGCTTGGAAAATGGCTTAAAAATTTTTGTGTCTGTGCTTGCTGTGTTGTTAAAGTCAATGTGTGTGTCTTACTGTCTAGATTTGGGTCTGACTTCTATCTATTTGTCTGTTCATCTGTCAATATACCCATTCATTCTTTCCCCTACAGATCCAAACTTGTCTGTCTGTCCGTGTCTGACTGTTTATCTGACCGGCTTGGCCTGCCTTCATTTCTGTCTGTCATCTATATGGTTATATGGTAGCTCTGTCATTTCTGACCAAGACCTAACACCTTGTCTGAATTAGATGGCTTTGTTGTTGGTCAAATGTTGAGGCGCTGTCTGGGTGTGATGATCCATTTGTGGGGCACTGACAGGGAGAAGCTCGTGTGTATAAGTCACATTTCTCTCATGCCTGTGTCTTCGTACGCCAGACTAGTAGTAGTAGTAGTAGTAGTAGTAGTAGTAGTAGTAGTAGTAGTAGTAGTAGTAGTAGTAGTAGTAGTAGTAGTACATTTTACCTCACTAGCACATCACACAAGCGATAAACACCCGATGACACAAAGTGCCACCATGCGGATGAGGATCACCCGTGGAGAGGTCCCGGAAACCGCATTCAGCCGTCAAGCTAAATTGCGGCCCCTTTCAAGAGCCACAGTTGGGCTTCAAAATATCGACAAATTGCATCCCGCGATACATTGACAACATCCAAACGCCAGCCGTCTGTCTGCCTCTCTGCATATGCATGCTTGTAGGTACGAGAAGAACTAAATAAACTAACTGCATGAAAGAACAAATACGTGAGTCAACTGAATTGATAATAATTTCCTGTCTCCACAGATCAGATGTCGAACCAGCAATCGCGGGATAAGACCTTCTAAGACAAGCATTTCCTTACGCCGGATCCTCAATCTGAATAATGACTACTACAACTTATATTTTGATTCCAGAGCAACTGTTAGGTCCCCTTCAGCTCTAAAGCAGAAAGTTTCAACAATCAAGTTCCAACAACGTCCAGAATCAGCCTTAGTTTGGCCTTAGTTGAGCGCCAGAAGCCTATTATAGATAAAGAACTGCCTAGGTAAAAGTAGTTCATGGAGTAGGCTCCAGTAGTATGGTGTGGCACCATCCTTAATTCAACTGTTATGTCCCCTTTGGCTCTAGGGAAGACTTACAGGAAGCAGTTTTCAGCAACCCTCAGAACCAGAGAGGCCCCAGCTTTAGTTCAACGCTGCAACTAATATCTAGATAAAATACTGCTGAGATAAGAGACGTTTTTGGAGTAGGTTCAAGCAGTTAGATGACATCAGCCTTATTTCAACGCCACAACCTTATTCTAAACGACTAAATACTTAGATACGAGAGCTTCATGGAGGATGATACAGCTCTATGAAGACATCTGTTTAAGGTCACAGCCACATCCTTATTCTAGATGTAGAACTGCTTAAAAAAGATAGGTTCATGAAGTAGGTTTCAGCTCTAAGAAGGCATGAGAATTGTTTCAATTCAAAATCTCTACTGATGATGTCGTATTGCTTAGAAATGAGAGGTTCATGAAGTAGGTTCCTGCGGCGCCCGGCACCACCAGCCCACTTTGAACACCACATCCCTGATCTAGATGAAGATATGTTTGTTATATGCTAGGCTATTCGGAAGAATGGTTTAAACATGAAAGATGCAGTGGCATTCCATAAATTTAGAATCAAGAAACCACAGAAGGACGACCCAGACGACGTTTCGCAGAAAGATTAACTGTCTTCATCAGAGCGTTTGGTTAAGTTTTCTGTACAGATTACAACACTTTGTTGCTTTTGCCACACGGGGATTGGATAATCTTGCCAGTAGGACTTCCCAAAAGCAGATATCGTCAACCGCCATTGGTCAGTGTAATAACATTGTAATCCGTCAGTTATATCAAACACTATGTGACTTATTACAGCATGACCTGTTTTTTTTAAAGAAATGTTTGCCTTTGTTATGGATAAACGCTAATTTACCATCCAGTTTCATCAATTGTGGATTGATTCTAAAGTGGGACTTGTGTGGTCTTGTACAGTCCGTATGGTGGTCTGGGAAACCCCCAAAGACTGTGAGAAGTCTTCATTATGAGCATACCGGCTTCAGAGACGCAGTCAGATAAGATCCCCTTGACCAAAGGCCGTTCGAACGGTGGACGGAACCTCAAAGCTAGAGTCAAACGCCAAGCTACTTCTAGCTACCTCGGCTCGGCTGCGGCCGGGGGGTATGAGACCACGCCCATAAAATATACTGGCGAAACTGAGATATTTGAAGAGGGCGGAGATGAGAGGATTTTACTGAACGTGGGCGGAGTCAGACATGAGACGCATGTGTCTACACTAAGGAATATACCACGGTCAAGATTATCACGATTGGCTGAAGTGCATTTGGATAACGGAGGAGGCAGGCAGGAGTACTTCTTTGACCGGCATCCGGCTGTCTTCAACTCCATCATAGACTTCTACAGAACGGGTGAGTCCTTGTGTTCATTGCATGTGATTTGTTTACTCCACCACATTATACACAGAGAAGCTAAATCAAATGCTAATAGCATGAGCATCGACATAAAGAAAACGAGCAGATGGGCATCAGAGGCCCTCACGACCTCTTATAAGTTTTGGTTCTTTATTATTATCCTACCCCCCCCCCAGATGACGTCACAGGACAGTCCAACATTTTAGAGGATGGTATGACTGGGTTTCCCGGCTGTTAGGTGTTTCTAAAACCCAAAAACATCTAGAACTGGCCCTAACCCCTATCAACCTACGTCCCACGAGAGTGTGCAGGGTAGGTCCCACGAATGCATGCAGCCTAGGTCCCACGACTGCATGCAGCCTATCTACCACCCCCTGTCATATTAGACTGTCCCGTGAGCTGTGGATTTCCTCTGTTTGGGGTAGGATATTATTAAAGCACCTAAATTTTCAGTCTACTACAATTTATCAGTGGAATTAGGCTCAAATGCTTCTATGGGGAATGAAGGCGGGCGGGCTTGTTTAATCGTGTAAACGAATAATACAAAAACACGGGATGGCAACAAAAAATAAAACAATATCTGAAATCTTCTTCTTCTTAACGTTCACGTGCTGCAAACTTAGGTGGAAAGCTTCGATTGTTTACCCACTAATGGCCTTTTGATCGTGATTAACGACTTGAGCTTTGCGTGCACATCCGTTTTACAGAATTGACTTCTTTGTATGCAGACTTTTTTTGACATGCTTGCACTCCGACTTTGAAGAAGAAGAAGAAAAAGAACAAGAACAAGAACAAAAACAAGAAGAAGAACAAGAACAAGAACAAGAAGTAGTGAAAGAATAATAAAAGTAATGATAATAATAATAATAATAATAATAATAAGAAGAAGAAGAAGAAGAAGAAGAAGAAGAAGAAGAAGAAGAAGAAGAAGAAGAAGAAGAAGAAGAAGAAGAAGAAGAAGAAGAAGAAGAAGAACAAGAAGAACAAGAAGAAGAACAAGAAGAAGAACAAGAAGAAGAAGAAGAAGAAGAAGAAGAAGAAGAAAAAAGAAGAAGAAGAAGAAGAAGAAGAAGAAGAAGAAGAAGAAGAAGAAGAAGAAGAAGAAGAAGAAGAAGAAGAAGAAGGAAGAAGGAAGAAGGAAGAAGGAGAAGAAGAAGAAGGAAGAAGGAAGAAGGAAGAAGAAGGAAGAAGGAAGAAGGAAGAAGGAAGGAAGAAGGAAGAAGGAAGAAGGAAGAAGGAAGAAGGAAGAAGGAAGAAGGAAGAAGGAAGAAGGAAGAAGGAAGAAGGAAGAAGGAAGAAGGAAGAAGGAAGAAGGAAGAAGGAAGAAGGAAGAAGGAAGAAGAAGGAAGAAGGAAGAAGGAAGAAGGAAGAAGGAAAAAGGAAGAAGAAGAAGAAGAAGGAGGAGGAGGAGGAGGAGGAGGAGGAGGAGGAGAAGGAGAAGGAGAAGGAGAAGGAGAAGGAGGAGAAGGAGAAGGAGAAGGAGAAGGAGAAGGAGAAGGAGAATACTAGGTAAGTATGTTTATCTCGTCTGGTCCACACTGGCCACCTGACATAGGATGCTAAATCCACACTTGTATCCACCAGCCTGCACTCAGTGGATGACGCAATCAACATCTGCCCACCCTACACATTTGGACCTGTGGGCAAGTGTCCACCCACTGTTCTACATCTGCTCCTAATAATCTTGTAATTTGTTTGCTGTTAACTACATTGCCCTTCTTTCTCAGAGTTAGCCAACAATATCAACACATTAATCGCCCAGTAGTGAAGTGTATCCACACGCAGGGTTTTTGCGGTCTTTGAATTCATTACGGTAGTAATGTGTTGCATGGAGTTTTCACAATTTCAACGTCTAGAAACATTTTGATACTAAATTGTTACAGACATGAAGAGATGCATACAAGTTACATGTAATTTAGGAAGGAATTACTGATGCCCAAAGTGATCCCATTAGCCTCCAGACACTTTTCATAACCATAATACAAGACAAATCAACCGTAATTCGATCTAAATACGGGGAAATGTGTCACTTAATGATGACGCTTTCAAACAAGTAGCCTCTTGTTAATTGGAAGCTATGACCCTCTTTTAACTACAGTAAAAATCCGAAAAGTGCAATGGTATTGACATGTAACAAGATCTAACAGCCTCTCAAAAAACAATACTGCAGGGCTCAGTAGAGGGAAAGGGGAGAAGAGGCAGACCAAGAAAGACCTTGTTACAGAACCTGACTGACTGGACAGGCCTCAGGCATGCAGCCATGAAGTCCATGGTGACTGACTGAAAAAGGTGGAGAGAACTGATCAGACAATCAACATAAACTAGTGACCCAACGACACGTAGTCTTACGGAATTATGAAGATGAACCTCAGCGAAAATGTTTCTGTATTCCACTGATAGGCGAATACTGTGTACACATTTATTCAAACGCGTCTGTATTAATGTATGTGTGTGCGTGTATGTAATTGTGTGTGTATTTGTGTCTGTGGGTTTCGTATATGTATTCCGTCACCTCATTTGACAGTATCATTTCTTTCCCCTCCGTTATCCGTGTCATCATCGACTGCGTGTTGATAATACGTGATTAGGAAGCGAAATACGCTTTTTTCTTTTAAATTAAGGGAAAATTCCGGATGTTTCCCTACTTGTTTACAAGATCAATATTGCAGGAGGTTGTTGCCCTTCCTTTGGGATTTCCCAGTTCTCATGGGTTTGTCAAAGACTTGTAAGACAACTTCCGAAAAAACATTTTAGCTGAGATCTGGCGATACTAGTTCCTCCTCATCATCACTATCATCAACATCATCATCACCTTCATTATTATCAGCAGCAGCTGCTACTCTCCTCCCCCTCCTCCTGCTTTTTCTTCTTCTTCTTCTTCTTCTTCTTCTTCTTCTTCTTCTTCTTCTTCTTCTTCTTCTTCTTCTTCTTCTTCTTCTTCTTCTTCTTCTTCTTCTTTTTCTTCTTCTTCTTCTTCTTCTTCTTCTTCTTCTTCTTCTTCTTCTTCTTCTTCTTCTTCTTCTTCTTCTTCTTCTTCTTCTTCTTCTTCTTCTTCATCATCATCCACTTCTTCTTATACTTCTTCTTCTTCTTCTTCTTCTCCTTCTTCTTCTTACGCTGCTGCTGCTGCTGCTGCATCTTCTTATTCTTCTTTTTTCTTCTTCTTCTTCTTTTTTCTCTTCTTCTTCTTCTTCTCTTCTTCTTCTTCTTCTTCTTCTTCTTCTTCTTCTTCTTCTTCTTCTTCTTCTTCTTCTTCTTCTTCTTCTTCTTCTTCTTCTTCTTCTTCTCCTCCTTCTTTTTCTTACGCTGCTGTTGCTTCTTCTTCTTCTTTTTCTTCTTCTTTTTCTTCTTCTTCTTCTTCTTCTTCTTCTTCTTCTTCTTCTTCTTCTTCTTCTTCTTCTTCTTCTTCTTCTTCTTCTTCTTCTTCTTCTTCTTCTTCTTCTTCTTCTTCTTCTTCTTCTTCTTCTTCTTTTTTTTCTTCTTCTTCTTCTTCTTCTTCTTAATCTTCTTCTTCGTCTTCTTCTTCTTTGTCAGCATTCCGAGACCTTGAGGTTCACTGCTGTAGATATCTCGTGACTAGCTTTCTCTTAATTCTGTGACCGGCTTTCTCTTCCCATTTGGTGGCTCTGTGAGTTTTCAGGTTGTTCAGAATGTTATCCTTCCGTTTTCTTGTTATGTCAGCAGCCCTACTCCCGGCAGCTTTTTTTTACTGACAGGCTCTATCTGCATTCTCTTAATATGCCCCAGTCATGCAGTCTATCAACCTTCACGACGCCAATACTTCCTACAAAATTAAATATATTATAAACTAGCTGTACCCGCCACGCGTTGCTGTGGCCCAGAATGATGAAATGGAGAGGAAAGAAAATAGCTCTCAGCTAACAGTATCTGTCATATCACCCCTCCTCTCCCCTCGACCCAGTCATATCTCCCTCTTCGAAGGATTGAAAAATCATCCGTGGCGAAATTATCAAAATAGAAATAGTTAAGAAATGAGAACTTAAAAATAATATTTTAAGCTCTCTCAGCTAACGGTGTCTGGCATAACCCCCCCCCCCCCCCCCCTTTTTTTTTTCTACCAATCATATCTCCCTCTCCGTAGGTTTGAAAAATCATCAACTTGCGAAATTATTACAATAGAAATAGTAAAGGAATGAGAACTTTAAAATAATATTTTAAGCTCTTTCATCATATCATCCTCTCCGAAGTATGGGAAAGTTACCATGCAACGAAATATTTAACTAAATTGAGCTTGGCATCCGTGTCCACCCAGACTTAAATAGGTAGCATTAACTTGTACTGAGAAGTAAATGTAGCCGGTGTAACAGCTACCACATCACCCATCCAGTACCAGTACTATTGCAACCACTACCACCATCACTACCACCACCACCATCACAACAACAACAAAAACTGTCATTACAGTCTGTGTAGGTCGGTATAGAAAAGAGGAGTTAGCACCGCATGCTGTCGCCACGGACTATTTAGTTTAATTTTGCCCCCGATATAAAAATTTTTTTTTATCACGTAACCAGTGATGGAACCCACAGTCAAACGTACACTATACTCACGAATAGCGGATAAAATTATCCCGCACCCGTCATCTCTCCCTCTCCGAAGGAAAGATTTTTAACTGATATTGGCATCCGTGTCCACCCAAACTAAACTGGACTCTAAGCCTTCTTAGTTAACAGTTTCTGTCATCGCCGAATAGTTTTTGATCGAGAAGCGTCGCGGGGAGGCTAATTAGGACTTAACTGAAATCGGATGTCTTTGGGCGAAAAGCGCAGATATCGCAGCCTAGTTGTAAACCACCACAACGTGGCAAACACCCTTTAAAGGGAAAAAGAACAATTATCACCCAGCGGGAAATCCAACAACGGTCATACGCGTGAAAGATGGAATACTTACAACTTTACTAACGAAGACTAGAGAGTTTGGGTAAGATATCGCAGCCTAGCTGTAAACCACAACACAACGTGCCAACAGCCCTCTCGAGGGCGAAGG